TTCTCGTGGGAATGTGGTGTACAGCAGATGCCATGCTTGTCTTCTAGTGGTAATGTGGTGTACAGTAGATGTCATGCTTGTTTTCTCGTGGGAATGTGGTGTACAGTAGATGTCATGCTTGTCTGCTCGTGGGAATGTGGTATACAGTAGATCTCATGCTTGTCTTCTCGTGGGAATGTGGTGTACAGTGGATGTCGTGCTTGTCTTCTCGTGGGAATGTGGAGTACAGTAGATGTCATGCTTGTTTTCTCGTGGGAATGTGGTGTACAGTAGATGTCGTGCTTGTCTTCTCGTGGGGATGTGGAGTACAGTAGATGTCATGCTTGTCTTCTCGTTGGAATGTGGTGTACAGTAGATGTCGTGCTTGTCTTCTCGTGGGAATGTGGTGTACAGTAGATGTCAGGCTTGTCTTTTCGTGGGAATGTGGTGTACAGTAGATGTCATGCTTGTCTACTCGTGGAAATGTGGAGTACAGTAGATGTCATGCTTGTCTTCTCGTGGGAATGTGGTGAACAGTAGATCTCTCATGCTTGTCTCCTCGTGGGAATGTGGTGTACAGCAGATGTCATGCTTGTTTTCTCGTTGGAATGTTGTGTACAGTAGATGTCATGCTTGTCTTCTCGTGGGAATGTGATATACAGTAGATGTCATGCTTGTCTTCTCGTGGGAATGTGGTGTACAGTAGATGTCATGCTTGTCTTCTCGTGGGATTGTGGTGTACAGTAGATGTCATGCCTGTCTTCTCGCGGGAATGTGGTGTACAGTAGATCTCATGCTTGTCTTCTCGCGGGAATGTGGTGTACAGTAGATCTCATGCTTGTCTTCTCGTGGGAATGTGGTGTACAGTAGATGTCATGCTTGTCTTCTCGTGGGATTGTGGTGTACAGTAGATGTCATGCCTGTCTTCTCGTGGGAATGTGATGTACAGTAGATGTCATGCTTGTCTTCTCGTGGGAATGTGGTGTACAGTAGATGTCATGCTTGTCTTCTCGTGGGATTGTGGTGTACAGTAGATGTCATGCCTGTCTTCTCGTGGGAATGTGGTGTACAGTAGATCTCATGCTTGTCTTCTCTTGGGAATGTGGTGTACAGTAGATGTCATGCTTGTCTTCTCGTGGGAATGTGGTGTACAGTAGATGTCATGCCTGTCTTCTCGTGGGAATGTGGTGTACAGTAGATCTCATGCTTGTCTCTTCGTGGGAATGTGGTGTACAGTAGATCTCATGCTTGTCTTCTCGTGGGAATGTGGTGTACAGTTGATGTCATGCTTGTCTTCTCGTGGGAATGTGATGTACAGTAGATCTCATGCTTGTCTTCTCGTGGGAATGTGGTGTACAGTAGATGTTATGGTTGTTTCCTCTCGGGATTGTGGAGTACAGTAAATCTCATGCTTGTCTTCTCGTGGGAATGTGGTGTACGGTAGATGTCATGCTTGTCTCCTCGTGGGAATGTGGAGTACAGTAGATCTCATGCTTGTCTTCTCTTGGGGATGTGGTGTACAGTGGAAGTCGTGCTTGTCTTCTCGTGAGAATGTGGTGTACAGTAGATGTCATGCCTGTCTTCTCGTGGGAATGTGGTGTACAGTAGATCTCATGCTTGTCTCTTCGTGGGAATGTGGTGTACAGTAGATGTCATGCTTGTCTTCTCGTGGGAATGTGGTGTACAGTAGATGTCATGCTTGTCTTCTCGTGGGAATGTGATGTACAGTATATGTCATGCTTGTCTTCTCGTGGGAATGTGGTGTACAGTAGATGTCGTGCTTGTCTTCTCGTGGGAATGTGGTGTACAGTAGATGTCATTGTTGTTTCCTCGTGGGAATGTGGAGTACAGTAGATCTCATGCTTGTTTTCTCGTTGGAATGTGGAATACAGTAGATGTCATGCTTGTCTTCTCGTGGGAATGTGATGTACAGTAGATCTCATGCTTGTCTTCTCATGGGAATGTGGTGTACAGTAGATGTCATGCTTGTCTTCTCGTGGGATTGTGGTGTACAGTAGATGTCATCCTTGTCATCTCGTGGGAACGTGGTGTACAGTAGATGTCATGCTTGTCTTCTCGTGGGAATGTGGTGTACAGTAGATGTCATGCTTGTCTTCTCGTGGAAATGTGGTGTACAGTAGATGTCATGCTTCTCTTCTCGTGGGAATGTGGAGTACAGTAGATCTCATGCTTGTCTTCTCGTGGGAACGTGGTGTACAGTAGATGTCGTGCTTGTCTTCTCGTGGGAATGTGGTGTACAGCAGATGTCATGCTTGTCTTCTAGTGGAAATGTGGTGTACAGTAGATGTCATGCTTGTTTTCTCGTGGGAATGTGGTGTACAGTAGATGTCATGCTTGTCTGCTCGTGGGAATGTGATGTACAGTAGATCTCATGCTTGTCTTCTCGTTGGAATGTGGTATACAGTAGATCTCATGCTTGTCTTCTCTTGGGGGTGTGGTGTACAATGGATGTCGTGCTTGTCTTCTCGTGGGAATGTGGTGTACAGCAGATGCCATGCTTGTCTTCTAGTGGTAATGTGGTGTACAGTAGATGTCATGCTTGTTTTCTCGTGGGAATGTGGTGTACAGTAGATGTCATGCTTGTCTGCTCGTGGGAATGTGGTATACAGTAGATCTCATGCTTGTCTTCTCGTGGGAATGTGGTGTACAGTGGATGTCGTGCTTGTCTTCTCGTGGGAATGTGGAGTACAGTAGATGTCATGCTTGTTTTCTCGTGGGAATGTGGTGTACAGTAGATGTCGTGCTTGTCTTCTCGTGGGGATGTGGAGTACAGTAGATGTCATGCTTGTCTTCTCGTTGGAATGTGGTGTACAGTAGATGTCGTGCTTGTCTTCTCGTGGGAATGTGGTGTACAGTAGATGTCAGGCTTGTCTTTTCGTGGGAATGTGGTGTACAGTAGATGTCATGCTTGTCTACTCGTGGAAATGTGGAGTACAGTAGATGTCATGCTTGTCTTCTCGTGGGAATGTGGTGAACAGTAGATCTCTCATGCTTGTCTCCTCGTGGGAATGTGGTGTACAGCAGATGTCATGCTTGTTTTCTCGTTGGAATGTTGTGTACAGTAGATGTCATGCTTGTCTTCTCGTGGGAATGTGATGTACAGTAGATGTCATGCTTGTCTTCTCGTGGGAATGTGGTGTACAGTAGATGTCATGCTTGTCTTCTCGTGGGATTGTGGTGTACAGTAGATGTCATGCCTGTCTTCTCGCGGGAATGTGGTGTACAGTAGATCTCATGCTTGTCTTCTCGTGGGAATGTGGTGTACAGTAGATGTCATGCTTGTCTTCTCGTGGGATTGTGGTGTACAGTAGATGTCATGCCTGTCTTCTCGTGGGAATGTGGTGTACAGTAGATCTCATGCTTGTCTCTTCGTGGGAATGTGGTGTACAGTAGATCTCATGCTTGTCTTCTCGTGGGAATGTGGTGTACAGTTGATGTCATGCTTGTCTTCTCGTGGGAATGTGATGAACAGTAGATGTCATGCTTGTCTTCTCGTGGGAATGTGGTGTACAGTAGATGTTATGGTTGTTTCCTCTCGGGAATGTGGAGTACAGTAAATCTCATGCTTGCCTTCTCGTGGGAATGTGGTGTACAGTAGATGTCATGCTTGTCTCCTTGTGGGAATGTGGAGTACAGTAGATCTCATGCTTGTCTTCTCTTGGGGATGTGGTGTACAGTGGAAGTCGTGCTTGTCTTCTCGTGGGAATGTGGTGTACAGTAGATCTCATGCTTGTCTTCTCGTGGGATTGTGTTGCACAGTAGATGTCATGCTTGTCTCTTCGTGGGAATGTGGTGTACAGTAGATCTCATGCTTGTCTTCTCGTGGGAATGTGGTGTACAGTAGATCTCATGCTTGTCTTCTCGTGGGAATGTGGTGTACAGTAGATCTCATGCTTGTCTCCTCGTGGGAATGTGGTGTACAGTAGATCTCATGCTTGTCTTCTCTTGGGGATGTGGTGTACAGTGGATCTCATGCTTGTCTTCTCTTGGGGATGTGGTGTACAGTGGATGTCGTGCTTGTCTTCTCGTGGGAATGTGGTGTACAGTAGATCTCATGCTTGTCTTCTCTTGGGGATGTGGTGTACAGTGGATGTCGTGCTTGTCTTCTCGTGGGAATGTGGTGTACAGTAGATCTCATGCTTGTCTTCTCGTGGGATTGTGGTGTACAGTAGATGTCATGCTTGTTTCTTCGTGGGGATGTGGTGTACAGAAGATCTCATGCTTGTCTCTTCGTGGGAATGTGGTGTACAGTAGATGTCATGGTTGTTTCCTCGTGGGAATGTGGAGTACAGTAGATCTCATGCTTGTCTCCTCGTGGGAATGTGGTGTACAGTAGATCTCATGCTTGTCTTCTCTTGGGGATGTGGTGTACAGTGGATGTTGTGCTTGTCTTTTCGTGGGAATGTGGTGTACAGTAGATCTCATGCCTGTCTTCTCGTGGGATTGTGGTGTACAGTAGATCGCATGCTTGTCTTCTCGTGGGAATTCAGCGAACAGTAGATGTCATGCTTGTCTTCTCGTGGGAATGTGGTGTACAGTAGATCTCATGCTTGTCTTCTCGTGGGAATTCAGTGAACAGTAGATGTCATGCTTGTCTTCTCGTGGGAATGTGGTGTACAGTAGATCTCATGCTTGTCTTCTCGTGGGAATGTGGAGTACAGTAGACCCCTAGTTCCCCTTTATTGTCTTCCAAGACGAATGTGGTGTAGAGTTGGGCCTGAGCAACCAATGTTTTGACTCAATGTACGCCAGCAAGAGATATTTTACTTCCGCTTCCAAAGGTTTATGGAAAGCCTGTTGGAAATTGTTGATACATGTTGTCTCAGGGGTTTTTTTCGGCAATGGGTTGGTTCAAATTGTAAATACTTGGAGAGGTTTATCCTCTTTCTCTTGATTACATCTTCAAAGTGTGTGTCTTATCCTTTACTTTTTATATCCTTATGATAAATGCCAATATGTATCATCTTAATAATATAATAATGTGATTTATGTCTTTTCAGGTAACTCAACGATTGCCACAGACTGAAAAAATAAATCTAAAAATCACATTAATACTTGTTTGTGCTCTCTTTCTTTCCATAAGAATGTTTTCAGATAAAATTTGTTTGATTCTTGTTTTATTCAGCAATATTCCAGCTATATGACAGCGGTCTGTGTAAATAATCGAGTCGGGACCAGACAATCAAATGATTGATATCATGACCATCGACCCACGCAATTGGGATCGATGACATGCATCAACCAAGTCAGCGAGCCTGACCACCCGATCCCGTTAGTCGCCTCTTACGTATACGTATGTATATTCTGGATATGTGAGGCGAGGTGAATTTGGTTTTAACGTCGCTTCCGAGATTGTTGCACTTTTTAGCGACGTGAGTGTACGTGTGTGTGCATGTGTGCGTGCATGTGTGCGTGCGTGTGGCTGCTTGTACTGGTCCGGACTTATGCCGATTCATAGTGCTAGCTCACTGAGATACCATGCCGCAGTTTAACATGAATACCCCACTCAGACACAGTATACTGACTCAGAGCCGACCAGTCCTTGTGTTATCCCTTTGATACCGAGCGCCAGGCAGGGTAACAAGTAACATCTTTTAACGCCTTTTGGTAACACCAGATCTTCCGCTCTCCGACCGGACGGTCTACCACTAGAACACAGAGGCGGCCGGATGGATATGTCCCCAGCAAGTTCTGCTTCGGGCAAGGGGCGACTTAATGAACGCATGTGATGTTGTATCACAGCCAGCTAGTGCGTGAATAAATGGTATGAATGATTGGTTGGTTTGTTGTTTAACGTCACGGCCCTCTGTAAATAATCGAGTCTGGACAGGTAATCCTGTGATTGATATCATGAGCATCGATCCACGCATTTGGTTGGTTTGTTGTTTAACGCCGCAAACACGCGTGGTCCCGTAGCTCACCTGGAAATACCAGGTTTCAGGGAAATAACTGAAAAAGTGAAAAAGTAAGCAGAGTTTACTAATACCCCCAACTTCAACCTTTTCAGTGTCAACTCTGCTTTAGTCATGCAAGCTATTTTCACAGTACTAATATAAATTAATAAAAATGTAATCAGATCGAGCCTACAAATAACCCTGATTGTTAAACTTTTATACATTTACCCTGTTATTGGATAGGGTTAGGGTTTGAAAAAATCATAAAAATAGGAATATTAATCAAAACAATTTTTTCCTTTTGACTGCACCCCTCCATATGACACAGATAATATGTACTAAGTTTGAGAGGAATCCACTGAATAGTTTAAGAGAAATCGCGCGGACAGAGTTTTCGGACGGACGGACGGACGGACGGAAGTTGGTATAACTTAGTATAACAAAAAAACAACAAAAAAACCACAAATAATGATTTGGTTGGTTGGTTTGTTGTTTAAGGCGGCACTCAGCAATATTCCAGCTATATGACGGCGGTCTGTAAATAATCGAGTCTGGACCAGACAATCCAGTGATCACTGGTAGAATAGTCAGTGCCTGTAATAGCTTCATTTACATCAGTCGTATGTAACCGTACCCTAGAACATGACGCTAACCTGGGACCAGTGAGTGAGTGAGTTGGGGTTAACGCCGCTTTAACAGTATTCCAGTTATATCGCGGCGTGTCAGCTTAATGTGGGAGGAAAGCCCCAAGTGATGCAGGTCTCAGACGTTTACCACTTCGGTGAAACCCACGAGCACGGGTATGGTGCTGACAAACCTAGAAACATTATCGGGGCGAACCGGGATTCGAACCCACAATCATAGGTTTCTGGCGTGCCCAAGGGACGCAACTCTGCACAGCGAATCGCGGCGCTTTAGACGACTGGGCCACCCGTGCCCCCGTACTGTCCTGAAGTGACAAGTGCGGAGTGCCTCACTGAAGGTCACCCAAGAAATGACTGTACGAAGACAAGCAGTCAAGGTAAAGGTAACCCAAGGACAAACATATGGTCCATGCTACAACTGTCAAGCCATTGGAAGTGCGGGTAAAATCCTCCACTGAAGCCAGGTTGGCAAACAGAATGGGGAGGAGGGTATCTTGTACGTGTTGTTGGTTGGCAAAGCATTGATGAAAGCGTTCTTTCGGGAGAGTGGGGTAGTCTCTCACGATCAAACGGCCCTTTTCAGTTTTCAGTTTCTATTTTGTTTCCAGTTTCCAGTTTCCAGTTGTTTCCAACGGCGCTTATCAGGGCTACCCAACTCTCCCGAAAGAACATTGCAAATCTCTCAAAAGAACCCCAACTTCCCCGGCCTTTTTAAACCGAAGTACCGACTTTTTTATTACCAGAAGTGAAGGGGTTTTTTTATTTTTAGTTTGTTTTTTGTTTTTTATTGTTTTTTTTTGTTTTTGTTTTTTTTTTTGGGGGGGGAATTGGTTGGTTGGTTGGTTGTTTAACGCCGCACTCAGCAATATTCCAGCTATATGGCGCCGGTCTGTAAACAATCGATCAGGAACAGACAATCCAGTGATTGATATCAGGAGCGACGATCTACACAATTGGAAAACGATGACATGCATCATTCAAGTCAGCGAGCTTGACCACCGGATCCCGCTAGTCGCCAAGCATAGTCATCTTTTACGGTAAGCATGGTTTGCTGAAGACCTATTCTATCCCGGAATCTTCACGGGTCTTCATTGAAGGACACGTGGCGGCAGTCTGTAAGAAACTATCAAACAGAACATGGAGGTGATTACGTGACAAAGGTAACATTTGCCCGAGTATTCCGCCAAGCATGGCAGAAGTCAACCACTGTTGACATAGCTGTAAAGGGATTCAGGGATGCTGGGATATTCCCCTTTATCCGTCTGTAGCGTCCTTGGCCAGTCATCAAATCCTGACACATGAAGCCAGTGGTACCCCCTTTTGCCCAGCCCATGTTAACAGTTCCTGTTTCCGAGACGGCACAGGCCCCGACAACTCCATCCGGAAGTTTCACTGAAACAAAAGAAGCATCTGAACCACCTTCTTCTCCTGACCTAGAACCTACCTCTGCCCATGACGCCCTGACCCCAACCACAACAACACAGAAATGGCTTTAAGATCTTTCCAGGCTGCACTGGGGGAAGAGAGGACACAACTCTTCATCAAGCGTTAAGGAGAGGGGTATGACTTGAAGAACGATGAAGTGTACAACATCTGGCTTGTAATGAAGAAGTCCCTGAAGCTTCTGTCCAGAATACTGCAGATACCACATCATCCGACAAGACCCGTGAAGATCCGGGGTGGAATAGGTCTTCAGCAACCCATGCTTGTCGGAAAAAGGCTCGCTGACTTGGTTGATGCATGTCCTTGATCCGATCAATGCTCATGATATCAATCACTGGATTGACTGGTCCAGACTCGATTATTTACAGACAGCCGTCATATGGCTGGAATTCTGTTGAGTGTGGCGTTAAACAACAAACAAATAAATTCTAATCATGAAGACCTGGTTAGCACATAATTCTGTGCGGCGTTAAATAACCAACCCACCCCCTCACCGACCAACCAACCGACCAACCAACCAACCTACCAAAAGCGAGTGGCAATGTCTGAAGATGTCACAGGTGACAAGTATAGAAAGATTTTGGAGGAGAAGGAAAAAGGAAAATAGAAGAGAGGGATTTAATTATTTTTGTCAGGCGGCTGAATATTCTTTCTCCGAACCATCAAAGTCAGTGGCAGAAATCGTGTAACGACAACGACAAAGCACGCCGCACGCGATACTTATGACGTCATCAATCTGTGGGCAAATTTCACATGACATTTCACAGGTCAACAGTATTTCTTTCATATCAGACAGTATTCAGGAAGCTAAAGAACAAACAATTTGGAAATAATCGATATATATTTCATTTTTTATCTCTGGTAAAAACAATCGATCGCGAAAAAGGTTTGTAAACATGTTACATGTTGTCATGAATTAAGTGTTTTCAAACAATTTTTATAATGTTATATTTTACTTTCATTGTCGGTTGTTTCAATGAGGAAATAGCTTCAACTGATCGATTCCGGGGTAGAATATGTCTTCAGCAACCCATGCTTGCCGTAAAAGGTGACTATGCTTGTCGTAAAAGGCGACTAAAGGGGTCGGGTGGTCAGGCTCGCTGACTTGGTTGATGCATGTCATCGATCCAAATTGCGTGGATCGATGGTCATGATATTAATCACTGGATTGTCTGGTCCAGACTGGATTATTTACAGACCGCCGTCATATAGCTGGAATATTGCTTAGTGCGGCGTTCAACAACAAACAACAAAAGAAATATATACCTTTTTTCCAACCCTTACATCACCATTAAGGTCAATGATTTGCTCACGTGAGGGGCACTGTCTTCATCAAATACAACTTCAATCCTTATTTTGACAGATACATGAATCATATCAAAACTATCCATTAACTATAAAACCTCAAATATTTGAAGCGAACTGTAGCAACGCGGAGAGTCGTGGCGTCATCCGTCCTAAACATTACATTTGGAGTGAACACCCCTTGATTTTACAAACGGCAGAAAATGGCAGCTACTTTTGGTGTGTGTTTGGGTCATACTACGGCTGCTGGTGACGGGGATTACCGCCCTAGACGGCGCGGTTGGCTTTCCCGAAGCAATATACGGCAGTCGCTTTGTATTAAGTCCTAACTCCTTCAATAGTATTTGTGTGCGCACCTGAAATGGGTATCTCCATTCTCGGGGCGGCTTACAGCGTGATTGGTATTGTAACAGATTGACATTAATATACCTATAATAATATATTATCCATAATTATGCGTGAGGTTACTAGCATCTTAGACTATCGACATTGTACATCTCTTAGTATATCAGACCGCCTCCGTGGTCTAGTGGTAGAGCGTCCGCCCGGAGAGCGGAAGGTCCGGGGTTCGATCCCCGACCGCGTCATACCAAAAGACCTTAACAGATGGTACTTGTTGTTACCCTGTCTGGCGCTCGGCATTAAGGGGCTAAAACAAGGACTGGTCGGCTCGTAGTCAGTATACTGTGTCTGAGTGGGGTACTCATGTTAAACTGCGGCATGGTATCTCAGTGAGCTAGCACTATAAATCGGCATCAGTCCGGACTAGTACAAGCAGCCATACAAACACACACACGTACATACACGTCGCTATATAAGTGCAATAATCTTGGACGCGACGTTAAACCCCATTTCACCTCACCTCACCTCACCTCACCTTAGTATATCAGTAAACAGTGATTAACCAAACCCAGCGCTCGTTATGCAGTTCTCAGCTGATACGACAACCTGAGATTATTACAGGTATAATCGGGATTAACCCGTGAAGACCAAGGTAGAATAGGTCTTAGGAACCTATGCTTGCTGTAAAAGGCGACTACGCTTGTCGTAAGAGGATACTAACGGGATTGGGAAGTCAGGCTTGTTGACTTGGATGTCATCGATCCCAATTGAATGGGTCCATGCTCATTATATCAATCACTGGATTGTCTGGTTCAGACGCAAATATTTACAGACCGCCGTCATATAGCTGGACTATTGCTCAGTTCGGCGTTAAACAACAAACCAACCAACCAACCAACCAACCATTTCACCCGTCTACATCCAACTATGCAGTACAACAACAAACTAAACAAAGACAGTGTGGAGCTAAGTGATTTCTCTTGGTAAGTCTCTGTTATAGCTTCGAATGGCCCAACATATACATGATCTGTCTGCCTGTGAAGATTCCGGGGTAGATTAGGTCTTCAGCAACTCATGCTTGCCGTAAAAGGCGACTATGCTTGTCGTAAAAGGCGACTAACGGGATCGGGTGGTCAGGCTCGCTGACTTGGTTGATGCATGTCATCGATCCCAAATGCGTGGATCGATCCTCATGATATTAATCACTGGATTGTCTGGTCCAGACTCGATTATTTACAGACCGCTGTCATATAGCTGGAATATTGCTGAGTGCGGCGTTAAACAACAAACAAACCAATCAGAGCCTGCATCATTCATAGCCTGAATCGATGTCGTCAGTTTCCCTAATGACGTTTCATTTTTAGACATTGAGGAATTCCCGTACAGGTGTTCTGTATGTCTTCGCTCGATTGACATCGTAATAACGTGACATATTGACGATCATCGGAAAAATGAATGACAGTCGTTGGTTGGTTTGGTTTGTTGTTTTAAGCCGCACACAGCAATAATCGAGTGTGGACCAGACAATCCTATGATTGATATGAACATCGATCCACGCAATTTTTAAATCGATGACATGTTTCAACCAAGTCAGCGAGCCTGACCACCCGATCCCGTTAATCGCCTCTTACGACAAGCATAGTCACCTTTTACGGCAGGGGCGGTCGGGTAGCCTAGTGGTTAAAGCGTTCGCTCGTCACGCCGAAGACCCGGGTTCGATTCGCGACATAGGTACAATGTGTGAAGCCAATTTCTGTTTTCCCCGCCGTCATATTGCTGGAATATTGCTACAAGCGGTGTAAAACCATACTCAGAGACCTTTTACGGCCAGCATGGGTTGCTGAACACCTATTCTACCCCGGGTCTTCACGGGCCACCCGTCTATATGTAGTACTGCAAGGTCCACGCCTCCCATGTGCAGAATGTACAATACAACCGCTGTTTTCTTTCTTACTTCTCTGAGCCCCGTGAAGATTCCGGGATAGAAGAGGTCTTCAGCAACCCATGCTTGCCGTAATAGGTGACTCTGCTTGTCGTAAAAGGCCACTAACGGGATCGGGTGGTCAGGCTCGCTGACTTGGTTGATGCATGTCATCGATCCCAAATGCGTGGATCAAAGCTCATGATATTAATCACTGGATTGTCTGGTCCAGACTCGATTATTTACAGACCGCCGTCATATAGCTGGAATATTGCTGAGTGCGGCGTTAAACAACAAACCAACTAAATCTTACTTCTCTGAAGCAGTACGGTGAAAACTATATAGATCTTTTCTTTTATCAATCGATGTCATGTTCAAGAATTCATTGCCCCGAAATCATTATCTCCAGATAATGATTCATGTACACATGACGACCCTTGTTCCATCATATGCCAGTAGCCAGGTTACCCCTACAGCGAACTATTACGTAACCCGTCACCCCGTACATCTGCCTCATTAAAAAGTGATTTATCAAACTACCACATGCTGATTTTGTTATCTTTTAATCTTCACTAATCCATAAAACATGGCACCCCAGTAGTATTAAACAGAACCACCCGCTAACAAATTGGTATATACCTATGTACATAAACCCATCAACGGTTTTTGATCTAGTATCTATTAACAGCAGGTTTACCACGTTAGCGTCATTCTCCAGACACATACGGTAATTATGTACTTACATCTAGGCCCATAGTGTCCAGTCTCGCACAGTTTAACAGTGCATGCGGCTAATTTAATTACCTGCCACCTTTCACTTCCTCCCACCTGCTTAGCGTCAGACGGTTTAACTGGAGAAATAGCGGTGTCGCATCAGACATATCAACAAATCACACCTGTCTGCCCCTATTCATGTCATTTAACCATGCAAAACATGTTACTAAGTAAATGGTAAATCCAGCAACATTACGGCAATGTGTTAGAAAAGCAAATATAAAAACCACAACACATCACCTCCAGAAGGTATAAAAAGGTTTTGCTTCCACGTTTTGTTTTTCTTCCTGCAACGTGTTTTGCATCAACATGTACACGTGCGCAGATAGCATGCCAGCAGGTACGGATTGCAATACCTCTATGTCCTCCTACCAAACAAGGTTCAGGTCTTTTAAGGGCAGGCCAATACAGCTTCATAAATTAGCTAGTGCAGGGTTCTACTCTAGCGGCACCTCTGACAAGGTCATCTGCTTTGCATGCCACATTAAACTTAAGGATGGGACACTCGGCGACGAGCCATTAAACGAGCATAGCCAGTGGTCTCCAAACTGTAAATTTCTTGAAATGACTGGGCATGGGAGCACCCAATTAAAAAACTGCGCATGACACTGTGCTGTGAATATTCCTATATAAGTCACTACCAGACCGCAAACGTCTGCAGTTATACATCCATCAAACAACTAGTGTTTCTGTAATCTGCTTTCCAGTCAACAGTGCAAATATATATCCAATGCAGGGTGTCAACATTGCACTTCCCGAAGAGGCGCTGCAGCCCATGGTCAGTCACTCTGCCGCATGGGAGAAAGGCGGAAAACACCCCCAGGGGTGTAATACAACGCAGACCGCCAGCGGCTACTCTCAGCAGTTTCCCGCATCAAAGCGCTTATCCGCATTGTCCATTTAAGAGATTTGAAAAGCAATTGTGGTATTGAGTAGGTGTGGCCTGAGGTAGCACCAGGGTATATAGAACAGAGCTGGCAGGCGATAGTTGCCTGACATATTTGCAAACAGTCTTGCTACACCTGCCTAACATATACTTTGGACCAGCTAGTTGACCATGCCTTCGACCACCTACTAATGTCGCCGCTGCCAATCTGACGACCACCACTATACCGTGTGCCCAAATGCCAGCTGCGAAAACAAGTGTGCAAACCCCATGGGACACTGGTTCTGGCACTGCCCCGAGCCGTGCAGCACCTGAGGGAAAACCGGACACGCTGCACTAAGGTGTATGAATGATGGCGCTAAACATGCAGGAGCTAGCAACATCAAGTGCTACGATTGTAAAGAGATGGGGCACACAGCTGGGGAGTGTAAAATACCGTGCGGCGAGAGAGGGTGCGGTAGCAGCGAACACACGTCGTACACATGCCCCATGCGCATAGCCCGGCAGAAACGTGGGGACCCACCACCCCATTTAGCGGCTTATGACTGCTACAAATGCGGGAATATGGGGCATTTTGCTGCCGGGTGTGTACTACCGTGTAGGTGGTGCAAGGTGGTGATGCAAGGCCATCAGGCCCGTTATTGCCCAAAGCGGGTAAAGGCTGCAGAAAAGCCCCAGACGTCCCAGAAGGCTGGAAATGAGGCCGCCCCTACAACACCCCCGAAGGAGGAAGAAGACGCCCCAGCTGTTGCTGCAGCTGACGCCGTAACACCTACGAAGGTGCAAGGCACCCCGGCCGTGCCCCCACCCCGCCCCTCCAAAAGAAAGCGGCCGGCAGCCCTAGTGACCCCGGTAAAGAAACGCCGGGGTGTGATAAAAATAGTAGCGACAGTGATGATGGCGGGGATTTAATCATAATTGAAGACGACGTGGAACCTTCACCTGCCCGCCGGGAGCTGAATTACCGGCGTATAAACAGGTATTGCGATGAAGAACACCAGTCGGCTGAAGATGTAAAAAATTGTCATATATGTAACCCCGCCACTGAGTCGGAAGAAGAAGGATAGCTGAAGTGTTTTGCTGCTACTTAATATAATAAAATTTCTCAGGCATATATTGTTTTGAGTACTTATTTAATTGTGGGGTATTTCTTTTTTGTTGCCTGCAAAGTGTGTTATATACACCACAAACGTGTGTAGGGTGCTACATGCTGCACCCACACGTACATACACACCTGCTAACAGCTTTAATTTCATTGTGTGTTACGCTGCCTCACATAAGCACGGTAGCATGTACAGTACGCATATGTAGTAGGTAGCATATGCACTTACATTAAGGCGTGCCCGATGAAGATATGCGGTGTTGAGCAACCCATGCTTACCCAAAAGGGAGCTATGCTTGCCGTAAGAAGTAGCAAGGTGAGGTGAGGTGAAATTGGTTTTAACGTCGCGTCCAAGATTATTGCACTTATATAGCGACGTGCATGTACGTGTGTGCGTTTGTGTGGCTGCTTGTACTAGTCCGGACTGATGCCGATTTATAGTGCTAGCTCACTGTGATACCATGCCGCAGTTTAACATGAATACCCCACTCAGACACAGTGTACTGACTCCGAGCCGACCAGTCCTTGTTTTAGCCCCTTAATGCCGAGCGCCAGACAGGGTAACAACAAGTACCATCTTTTAACGTCTTTTGGTATGACGCGGCCGGGGATCGAACCCCGGACCTTCCGCTCTCCGGGCGGACGCTCTACCACTAGACCACGGAGGCGGTCGTCAGTATAGGAGCGATATTGATGAGTACAGCGTGAAACAAGCAAGCAAGCAAACCTTTGTGATTTTGACGCGGGGTTTTGTATTTTGAAAGCATGAGTGAGTGAGTGAGTGAATTAGGTTTAACGCCGCTTTTAACATTATTCCAGTTATATCACGGTGTGTCAGCTTAATGTGGGAGGAAAGCCCGAAGTGATGCAGGTCTCAGACGTTTACCACTTCGATGAAACCCACGAGCACGGGTATGGTGCTGACAAACCTAGAAACATAATCGGGGCGAACCGGGATTCGAACCCACAATCATAGGTTTCTGGCGTGCCCAACGGACGCAACTCTGCACAGCGAATCGCGGCGCCTTAGACGACTGGGCCACCCGTGCCCCCTGAAAGCATGACATCATTTTGCCATGAAGTTTGTGAACATGCTCTTGATGAGGGTAAAATGCTAATGATACAGCGGTTACTAAGGCTGAAAACAGCCCTCCCTATTTGTAATGAATTATGTAATAACTCTAAAACGGTTTGTAAGCTAAATTATTTAATGCATACGTATAAACATTTAGCAAAGCCGGAAATACTTCTTCCTTTTCTGGTGTTGAAACAGTGCCGAATGCATGTTGCCGGCTCTCCCCGGCAGTGTCTCCCCCTCATATTCGTATATTCTGGGAAGCTGTGGGGTGGCGGACTTAATTTGAGGGGTGTGTGATTACACGCCATTTTGTGTACTGGTAGCTGAAGGCTGAGCAGAAAATCTCCCGTAGTGGTTCTTTGGCTGCAATGAAAAGAAGCCGTGTTTAAATATTGATCATCATACACATTATAAAGCACACAAATGGCGGGACTCTTGCTAATATGTTAAATAAGATTGCAAGATGCAATAAGGTGTGTTAGCACTTACCGTTCCTTCTTTTCTTCATCCCTGATGTAGAAGCGTTCTAGTAGTTTAAAATCCACACGCAGCTTCAATATTTCGATGTTGAATTCGTTAAGATGGAAGTACAGGTGTCTAAAAACAGATGTAAGTACATAATTACCGTATGTGTTTGGAGAATGACACTGACATGGTAAACCCTTCCGTTAATCAAAAACCGTTGACGGGTTTAAGTACATAGGTATATACCAATTTGTTAGCGGGTGGTTCTGTTTAATACTACTGGGGTGCCATGTTTATGGATTAGTGGAGATTAAAAGATCACAAAATCAGCATGTGGTAGTTTGATAAATCACTTTTTAATGACGGAGATGTACGGGGTGATGGGTTACGTAATAGTTCGCTGTAGTGGTCACCTGGCTACTTATGCCAGTACATTTAGCCTGTCACTCCTTCCCTTTCCTGCAGACCCGTGGAGATCCGGGGCAGAATACGTCTTCAGCAGCCTATGCTTGCCGTAAGAAGTAGCTAGCAGAGTGTGTAGTCAGTCATATGGGAGCGATATTGATGAGTACAGCGTGAAACAAGCAAGCAAGCAAACCTTTGTAATTTTGACGCGGGGTTTTGTATTTTGAAAGCATGAGTGAGTGAGTGAGTGAATTAGGTTTAACGCCGCTTTTAACATTATTCCAGTTATATCACGGTGTGTCAGCTTGTCAGTGGGAGGAAAGCCCGAAGTGATGCAGGTCTCAGACGTTTACCACTTCGATGAAACCCACGAGCACGGGTATGGTGCTGACAAACCTAGAAACATAATCGGGGCGAACCGGGATTCGAACCCACAATCATAGGTTTCTCGCGTGCCCACGGGACGCAACTCTGCACAGCGAATCGCGGCGCCTTAGACGACTGGGCCTCCCGTGCCCCCTGAAAGCATGACATCATTTTGCCATGAAGTTTGTGAACATGCTCTTGATGGGGGTAAAATGCTAATGATACAGCGGTTACTAAGGCTGTGAATAACTCTAAAACGGTTTGTAAGCAAAATTATTTAATGCATAAGTATAAACATTTAGCAAAGCCGGAAATACTTCTTCCTTTTCTGGTGTTGAAACAGTGCCGAATGCATGTTGCCGGCTCTCCCCGGCAGTGTCTCCCCCTCATCTTCGTATATCGTGGGAAGCTGTGGGGTGTTGTGACTTAATTTGAGGGGTGTGTGATTACACGCCATTTTGTGTACTGGTAGCTGAAGGCTGAGCAGAAAATCTCCCGTAGTGGTTCTTTGGCTGCAATGAAAAGAAGCCGTGTTTAAACATTGATCATCATACACATTATAAAGCACACAAATGGCGGGACTCTTGCTAATATGTTAAATAAGATTGCAAGATGCAATAAGGTGTGTTAGCACTTACCGTTCCTTCTTTTCTTCATCCCTGATGTAGAAGCGTTCTAGTAGTTCAAAACCACATGCAGCTTCAATATTTCGATGTTGAATTGGTTAAGATGGAAGTAGAGGTGTCTTAAAAGCTCCCAGTTGATATACATCTCTACTGCGAGATAGCGTAGGATTCTGTATGCGACTCGATACATGAAGGTGCGGTTGAGGAAGCAGATTGCTGCAGATTGCATTGTATGGTGGTAGGAGAAACCAAGTCTCCGAGGGTTTACAATCTCTAGTAATCCCGAGTGGACATGGTTTGTCCAACTTATAAACCGACTCATCGCATAGACAACCTTTTTAATTAAATATCTGTAATAAAAACTCTCAAATGTATTACCTGTATCGGAGATGAAGTATCGCCTGCAGTCGTGAACTCAGTTCAATGAAACCGGTGACCTTAGCACGTGGGTTTCGCAACGGTGCGAAATCTGCACGTGCGTCTCGCAATGGCACGAAATCTGCACGTGCGTCTCGCAACGGTACGAAATCTGCACGTGCGTCTCGCAATGGCACGAAATCTGCACGTGCGTCTCGCAGGCTGTTCGTAGTTTTTGTTCTATCAAGGGTTTACAATGATTGTAAGCCCTCCTGCGAGGTGTTACCACAATTTCAAAAACTCCATCGAGCTGCACAAACAGCAAGTAGGTTTATAACGGCAGAGAACACATTGTTTCCTCTTCCCTTCAGGCAGCACTTCTATGAAGTGACGTCCGGTCAGTTGTCGGGAAGGAGGCTGGGTCCTCCTCTTCAAATGAGTGTTCCCGACGAGTGAGTGGAGAAGGGACATGTGGAAGTCCAGACGGGAGGTCGTTCTACCATGAGTGTTCAGGAATGTCTGATAGGCATTAACTGTAATTTATATAAAACATTATGCAAGATGAGGACAGTGTTGATACAGTGGTTCAAGATGCCAAAATATTCAGCGATTGTATTTAGTTAGTGTTATAAATAAAATACTGGTTGATTATGACCGTATAGTCGGTAGTAATTTTATTTGACGCCGCACTCGGCAATATTCCAGCAAAATAACAGCGGTCTGTAAATAATCGAGTCTGGAACAGACAATCCAGTGATTGACATCATGAGCCTCAATCCGTGCATTTGGGATACGATGATGTGCATCGCCCAAGGCAGCGAGCCTGACCACCCGATCGTGTTGTCGCCATTTACGGCTAGCATGACACCCGTGAAGATCCGGGTTAGAATACTTCTTCAGCAAGCCATACTTGCTGTGAAAGGCGACTATGCTTGGCGTAAAAGGCGACTAACGGGGTCGGGTGGTCAGACTCGCTGACTTGGTTGATGTATGTATTTGATCCCAATTGCGTTGATCGATGCGCATGATATCAATCACTGGATTGTCTGGTCCAGACTCGTGTATTTACAGACCGCCGTGTTATAGCTGGATTGTTGCGGAGTGCGGCCTTAAACAACAAACCAATCAACCAACCAATAAGAGTTCAGCGATATCAAACTTTCAACCACAAACCTACCGTAAATCCCTCAGCCTGAACAGCATTTATGAAGGAGGTTACACCTCGGGCGGGATGTAAGTCATGTTTTGACTGAAGCACCCCACACGCGGCTCTCGGATAAACCCGCTACCAACAGCTTATTTAACCCGCTACCAACAGCTTATTTAACCCGCTACCAACAGCTTATTTAACCCGCTACCAACAGCTTATTTAACCTATTTGCCTTCCGCTGTCTCGCTATACCATTACCGTGCACGTGAATCACGTTCCAATATGCACTCGTCTGACCCAGCTGCATGGGACTCAGGCACGCCGACAGGCTGTGAGGCCAATACGCATGCATGCGCCATTCTT